CCACAATCCAATCTTTTTTAAAGATTTTATTTATTTGACGGAGACACAGCGAGAGAGGGAACACAAGCAGGGGGAGTGGGAGAGGGAGAAGCAGGCTTCCCGCTGAGCAGGGAGCATCATTCAGGGCTCCATCCCAGAACCCTGGGATCATGACCTGAGCTGAAGGCAGCCACTTAACGATTAAGCCACCTGGGCGCCCCCACCACAATCCAATTTTTAAGAAACATCTTTGTTCTCTCTAAATTAAAGGACATTCTTATATGCATTAGCAATCATACCTCCTCTCCACCCCCACCCCCAAAATCTTTTACCCCTAAGAACTCACCAATCTAGTTTCTGTGTCTATAAATTATCTGCTGTTATTCTTGACATTTCATATAAATGGAATCACATAACGTGTGATCTTTTGTGACTGGTGTCTTTCACTTAGCATGTTTCCAAGGCTCATACGTGTTGTAGCATGTATCAGAACTTTATTTCTCAATGCTGAATAATATTTCACTCTAAAGATGCTACATTTTATTTATTCTTCATGAGTTGATAGATATTCTACTTTTTAGCTACTATGAATAATATAGCTATGCATATTTGCATACAAGTTTTTGCATGGATATATGTTTTCATTTCTCTTGGGTATATGCTTAGGAGTAGAATTGATGTGTTCCAGGATGATTTAATGTTTAATTTTTTGGGAAACTGCTGAAGACTGTTTTTCAAAATGCCTGTACCATTTTACAATCCCACCAGCAATGTATAAAGTGTGCCAATGTCCCTGCATCTTTACCAACATGAGCCACCATGGGATTCAGCAAAGTACTGCTCATCTTTTCCAACACTTGTTATTTTCTGTCTTTTTTTTATTATAGCCATCTTGGTGGGTATGAAGTAACATCTCATCATACTTTTTATGAACATTTCTGTAATGATTAATGACATCTTGTCATGTGATTATTGGCTATCTGTGTATCTTCTTTAAAATAATGCCTGTTTAAATCCTTCATCCATTTAAAAAACTGGGTTGTCTTTTATTATTGCATTGTAAGAGTTCTTTATATATACTCTATACAAGCCTCTTATGAGATCTATTTTCAAATGTTTTCTTCCATAGTATGGGCTACCTTTTTTATTTTCTTGATGGTCTCATTTGTGAACACTTTCATTGTCATATTTATAAAATCATTGTCTAACCTAAGATTATAAAATTTACTCCTGTGTTTGCTTCTAAGAGTTTATAGTTTTAGTTCTTACATTTGGGTCTATGATCTAAATGTAAATTTTGAAAATTTGGGCATATAGTGTGAAGTAAGATTTGCTCTTTTGCATTGAATATTCAGTTGTTCCAGCACCATTTGTTGCAAAGACTTTTCTTTCCTCACTTACTTGTCTTTGCAACCTTGTAAAAAATCAATTGATCATAAATGTAAAGGTTTATTCTGGATTCTCAATTCTATTCTAATGATTTAGATGTCTATCTTTATGCCAGTACCACACGGTTTTGCTTACTGTAGCTTTGTACTAAAATTTAAAATTGGGAAATGTGAGTATTAAAAATTCCTTCTTTTTTTCAAGATTGCTTTGGCTATTGTTGATGTCTTGCATTTCCATATAAATTTTAAGATCACCTTTCAATTTCTGAAAATATCGTTATCTTCACTGAACCAATAGTGCCAATGGTGAACTTCCTTCTTCTGGACTTGACCATCATAAATTCCATGAATTTTTTCAGAAATAGAGGTTGAGTATTCTGACTTGCCTTGCTATACAGCATTTCCATAACTTAGTGGTGGTGGAGTTTCACTGCAAATGTGTAAGCTCAGGGCCAAGACTGTAATTTTTAGGAACTGTCCTCAACCACTCCTATGGAATGCTGAGTAGCTTTTGGAACACAGAATGGCTAATGGAAATTAGCTTTTGTAACAGACTTGATAATGTTTCTTAATGAATTCATTAACAATCTACAAGACAAAATTACAAGACAACACAAGTACTTATATGCAAAAATTACACTGAGGTAAAGTCATTTCAATAACCTTAACTTGTCACCCATAAGTAATGTCTCAGGCTGCTTTATACATTTCCCCTCATGCCAAAAGTTATAACAAGAATTGAGATGTTCTTAAAAAAAAAAGAAGAAGAATTGAGATGTTCATCTCCACTTAAATTTGCACCATATGTATTTTTCCAGTTCAAACTACAGTTCTAGTATTGTGTTTCAGACTTCAATGTAAGTACAAAGAAAATTTATCTATTTCAAAATACATTTAGGGGGCACCTTGAGGGCTCAGTCGGTTAAGCATCCCACTCTTGGTTTCAGCTCAGGTCATGATCTCATGGGTCATGAGGTTGAGCCCATCATCCTCCTGCACTCTATACTCAGTGGGGAGTCTGTTTGAAGAGTTTCTCCCTCTGCCCCCCAAATCCCTCTTTCTCTTTCTCTATCTAAAATAAATAAATAAATCTTTAAAAAATACATTTAACTGTGCAATGAGGAACTTCTTCCTAACCTTTAGTTGGAAATAATTAACTGCTGCAATGGAATAGTACACTAAAAAGGTAAATACCAAATGAATTTAATAGAATTCTGTAAAAGTCTACTGAAAGATGAATATCCTCAATTAAAATTATTAACTTATATTGGGAGGTATGAACTTCCTTGGTGATGATTGTGTAATATTGTGAATGTACTAAAAAAGCCAGTGAACATATACTTAAAATTATTAAAATGGTGAATTTTATGTTTTGTGAATTTTATCTCAGTTAAGAAAATTATAAACTCATGGATTAATATCAGTATATGGCAATGCTTGTTGGTGTAAAAGACATTTTCAAATACAGAATACATAAAATCTCATTGCAGAATACTGTTATGCCAAAAAGAAATTAAAAAAAAAAATCTCATTGCAGGTCAGCATTAATAAATGAATACTTGGGAAATGTATTTTGATGGTAGAGAAAACTTTGAATTCCAATTAAACAAGATTTTTTAAAATTCTATTCTCATGAACAGAACTGTCTTACAAAAAGTTATATTCTATTATTAATAGTATATTTGCAATTTTATGAATAAAATTTTGTGAAAACTTCTTTTCTTTTTTGCTATATAAGAATTACGTAATATCCTCAATTTTGCCTCTTGACCTACAAAGCCTAAAATGTTTACTATGTGACCCTTTATAGAAAAACGTTTGTTGACCTTGCTCTGGGTAGATGGATTAATGATACTGGCTAAGAGTGGAGTTTTTATCTGTAGAATGCTTTTTTTTTTAAAGATTTTATTTATTTATTTGACAGACAGAGATCAAGTAGGCAGAGAGGCAGGCAGAGAGAGAGAGGAGGAAGCAGGCTCCCTGCAGAGCAGAGAGCCTGATGCGGGGCTCGATTCCAGGACCCTGGGATCATGACCTGAGCCGAAGGCATAGGCTTTAACCCACTGAGCCACCCAGGGGCCCCTAGAATGCTTTTAATTATATATCCCTGATTTAGGATTGTTTATGGCAAACATACCCAGAACCTCTGGGTTTATAACTTCCTTGAAAAGGTCATGTAAGCTATACAACTCTGAGGTATAAATGGAGATATAAAATGGAGATGTGTTACAACTTAAACACTTCCCACTATGTGAGGTGACCCTCAAACATCATTTAAAGGCTTCACTTAAAAAAAAAATAAAATAAAAATAAAAAAATAAAGGCTTCACTTATTCTAGACCACAGAGTACCTATGTGATCTGAAAAGGAAGGACCTACAAAACCAGCAGGACGCCCTAGACCTCTCTCTACTTGACCTGTGTGCTCGATTGCTTTATCATTAAAATTATTAATAAAGCTTGATGCTAGGTAAAATCCCTTATGTTTGTGAGTCAGATATGATTCACAATTCAGTTCAATTCCATGTATGAGCTCAAATATTATGCATATATGTGAAAATCCAAAGTAAGCTTTCGGAGTCACAACAAACGATTTTGGCAAGACATTACCAAATTATTTCATGCTTGGAGTAAAGAATGGTGAATTTCTCTTAAAGTAGGTAAAAGTGCCATATTTTCTAAAAGAATTATTTGGTATACTTTGGTAAGGAGCTATGTTACCTTCTGCTCAACAGTCTAGATATTTCTTAAAGTCCCTTTAAATTCAGCCCCCTTCTGTATTTAAAGTTTTATTATTTATAATTAATATCTTTTCATAGATACAAACCAATATATGTGAGTAATAAGGATGTTAAGACCAAATGTACTATATCATCTGTGCATAGCAAAAATTAAATTTGATCACTTCAACCTTACCTAATAATTATTATCTACTTTTCAGGTTTTGGAAAATTATTATCCCTTAAAATTTTTTATGAACTGTATCTTTGCCTTTGAGATATATTTTTCTTCCATCCTTTATGGTAAATTCTTAAATTTATACCAAGAAAAGTCTTCCACCTCAAAACTATAGAGTTTTCAGAAAAAAAGCAAAACAAATTTCTAAGCAATTCTTATTGCTTATTAATCCCCCTTGGAATATTTTGATCCTAATGAGATCTACTAGTATTAATGCCTTTTATAACTTTGATCCTGTGAAATACCATCTGCATAAATTTATAATGTTTCTATGTTGGTTTTTAGACTGCTTATAACTGACTGACAAGAAAAAACTTGTACAGATGAAAGTTTTTTTCATACTATTTCATTTTATAAGTGACAATTCACTGCATATCAGTCACGTCCTAGAAACAAGACATCCTCATGATGACGATGAAATTGGAAGATTTTGAATCAAATGAAAATGTGCAAAATTTGTCAGCAAGAGAAAGATAAGAAACATTTAGTAAAAGTATTTTACTTGAGTGGCTACTGTAATTATGAATCATTTAGTTGTATATACATTATGTATCCTTTTTTATTTTTGCTTTTAAGGAAAAACATTAATTTGGGGACTACGTCAAGAATAGTATCATCTACATGGGCATTCCCCCTTCCTACGATTTCAGAAAATCTTTGAGAACTACTTGAGAAAATGCAGAAGATCTTGCAAACAGATGACATTACCAATACCCAAGCTCTTAGAAAAGGAAAAAGGAAAAGGACAGAGACAATGGACTCAGAGAATGCAAATAGTGACATGGATAAAGGACAGGTTGGTGTTCTGTTACCTCAGTATAACTTTATCATCTAGCTCTAGCATAATTCCATAGTGCTTTTCATAATTTTTTACTTCAGTACTTTCTCTTCTTCTATTAACTCATTGTTCCCTTTAATTCTTTGTTCAACCAAGGGAATAAAATTTCATGTTCTCTTTGTAATGTTCAACAAGTTGAGTTAGAAACATACTCAAAAGACATTTTACCTGCTTCTATTTAAGTATGGCCAATTATGCCATTGTTCAAACTTTCACTCATATTCTGGGAAATGAAAGAGAGGAAACTGTCAGAAACTACTTTTAGTACTTTCCTCTCAAAAAGTACTAAAGAAATTGAAATATCTACGTCTTCTTTAAGATTTACTGTTTCTCTTCTTTTTTAGCCCGGTTTGTGGCCCATGTTCATCACTGGTTTAGTGTGGGCTCCTTTCTTTTTTTATTTATTTATTCCTTTTTAAGCTGAATTCCCCACTCCCATTGTCCTCTTATACTTTGGATAACCCAATAATGTGTGTATCCTGTTTCATTTTATTCGTGTGTCTTTGCAGTCCATATATTTGTGTATGTCTTTGTAATACATGTAGTTTGTTATGTGCATGTATTCTTATTTAATTTTTAAGTACATACTATACATTCTTATAGTTTAAAATATTTTTTAATCTTCTGGGGATGGTGTTTAGAGGAATTCAAGATGGTCTGGCATTTGACACACTATTATAAGGTATTCTAAAATATAGCCCCTAGCAAAACTAGGCAGTCCCAAAACTATGGTAATGGAACTGTTTACCTTTATACCAAGAAGATTGGGAAACTGGCAAAATTTGTGGTGGAGTGTTCTCAGTCCATCTTTAAGGAGTTTATGCTATGAGACTTAAAGTTCTTACGAGGATCTAGGGGTGCCTGGGTGGCTCAGTTCATTAAACTTCTGACTCTTGACTTCAGCTTAGGTCATGATCTCAGAGTCCTGAGATTGAGCCCGAGTTGGGCTCCTCCTTTAGTGAGGAGACTTCTTGAGATTCTTTCTCTCCATCTCCCCCCACCCCCCCACATGAAAGCACATGCTTTCTCTCTCAAATAAATAAATAAATCTTTAAAGTTCTTATGAGGCTTTTTAAAATTTAAAAACATGTCAGCAGGGCCCGTGGTGGTTCCACATGTGCTAAATGTGTGCCTGACAGGATTAAGTGCACTTTCTTTAATAAGCAGAAAATTATTGTGAAAGTGTTGAAGGCACAAGAACAGTCAGAAAGCTAAATTAAAGAAATAAAAATAAAGCTTTTCTGAGTTTAAAAAATCAGAAGGTATCTATTTTAATATATACAAATATATATTTTAAGGTAAATGGTGAAAATTCTCACTCACATCCCTGTCTCCCATCCACCCTGTTCCCCCCCCTCCCACCTACACACTATAGGTAACCACATTTATTGCTTTCTTGTTTATCCTTCCAGTGTTTCTTTGTTCAAATAAAACAAATATAAAAATAGATATTTTGTCCCCTCTTTTGCACAAAAAAGTAACTTACCAGATATGCTGCTTTGTACTTTGCTTTTTTACTTAATATTTTTTTAAGATCTATCACTAGTGTATAAAGAACTTTCTCCTTTTTACAGCTCCATATTATTCCACTGTGTCTATGTACCAGTCTTTATTTAGCCAGTCTCCTGTGATGGATATGGCTTGTTTCCAACCTTTTCCTTCTTACCAATCACACTGCATTGTACAACTTTATGGATAGACCATTTAGTACATCATTTAGTAGTACATTGGTATCATGATATATACCTCAATCTGTTTCTGATTTTTCCATCAGCACTGTTTTTAACATCTACTTACATTGCTATTATCAGATTACAACTGATCCATTTTGTCTAACTACTATGGCAGCTCCACAATGTTGAGGATCTCTCTTATCTTGCTGGTCTACCTTACTTAACATGCAACACCTATCTCTGGGTCTAAACTGACTACTCAAGGGGCATCTGGTGGCTCAGTCAGTTAAGCATCTGCCTTCTGCTCAGTCATGATCCCAAAGTCCTGGGTTTGAGTCTTGCATCAGGCTCCCTCTGTAGGGAGTCTGCTTCTCCCTCTTCCTCTATTCCTCTCCCTTGCTCATGTTCTCTCTCTCTTTCTCTCAAATAAATAAGTAAAATCTTTTTTAAGCCCTTTTATATTCAAAGTAATTATTTGTAGATATGTATTTATTGTCATTTTGTTATTTGTTTTGTGGTTATTTCTATAGGTTTTCTCTGATCCTTTCTTCTCTTGCTCTCTTTCATGGTTTTTGGCCTGATATATTTGGATTTCTTTCTCTTTATTCTTCACATATCTTCTCAGTTTTTGACTTGTGGTTACCATTAGGTTTGCACAAAATAGTTTCTGCATAGAACAGTCTATATTAGGTTGATGACTGCTTAATTTTGAAACCATCCTTTACACTTCTCCCCACATTTTAGGTATATAGTGCCATATTCTACATCCTTTCATTTTATGAATAACTCTTTCTGATTTTTACAAAAGTACTTGCTTATATTGCTTTTGTATTTTTTTACTTTTCATACTCTCATTTGTGGTCTTTCCTTTCCATTCAAAGAGTCTCCTTTAATATTTCTCGTAGGGCTGCATTAGTGGTGATGAGTTACTTTATTTTTTATTTTTCTGAAGAACTCTTTATCTCTCCTTCTATTCTGTGTAATAGCCTTGGTGGATAGAGTATTCTTGGCTGCAGATTTTTCCCTTTCAGCACTTTGAATATGTCATGCCACTCCCTCCTGGCCCGCAAAGTTTCTGCTGAAAAATCCACTGAAAACCTTATGGAGTTTCCCTTGTATGTAACTATCTTTTATTCTCTTGTTGCTTTGAAATATTTTTCTTTATCATTACTTTTTGCCATTTTAATTATGTGTCTTGGTGCAGACCTCCTTGGGTTTAATTAGAGGAGGGGGGCTCCCTCTGTGCCTCTTTCCCCCAGATACCTATTTCCTTCCCCAGATTAGGCAAGTTTTAAGCTATTATTTCTTCTTATAAATATTCTGCCCCCTTTTCTCTCTCTTCTTCTGAGATCCTTATAATGAGAATGTTATTATGCTTGATGGAGTCACTGATTTCCCTAAGATTATTCTCAATTTGCATAATTTTCTTTCCTCTCCTTTGCTCAGCTTGGTTACTTTCCATTACTCTATCTTCCATATCATTAATTAATTCTTCTGCTTCATCTAGTCTGCTATTTATTCCATCAAGTATACTTTTTAAAAGATTTTTTGTGTGAGAGAGAGGGAGAAAGAACACATGAGCAGGGGGAGGAACAGAAGGAGAGGGAAAAGCAGACTCCCTGCTGAACAGGAAGTCCAACGTGGGGCTTGATCCCAGGACCCTGGCATTATGACCTGAGCTGAAGGCAGACACTTAACCAACTGAGCCACCCAGATGCCCCAACCATCAAGTGTACTTTGAATTTCATTTATTGTGTTCTTTATCTCTGATTGGTTCTTTTTTTATCTCTGTGTTAAAGGTCTCACTGATGTCCTCCACTCTTTTCTCAAGTCCAGTGAGTATCTTTATGATCATTACTTGAAAATATCTATCAGGCATATTACTTATATCGGTTTTGCTTAGATCTCTTGCTATGATTAGGTCCTGTTCTTTCATTTGGGACATATTCATCTGTCACTTCATTTTGTCTAACTCTCTGTGTCTGTTTCTCTGTGTTAGGAAAGTCAGCTACTTCTCTTGCTTTTAACAATAACAGCCTTATGAAGAAGAGGTCCTATAGTGCCCTGCTGTGCAGTGTTCCCTGTTCCCCAGGGCCTAGCATTTTAGGGAGTATCTCTTATGTGTGTTGCTTGTGCTCTGCTGTTAAGTATTGGCCTCTTCTTCCTTCAGTGCAGTTGTCTGAAGAGGCTCTCTGCCAGCAAGGGTCAGGACCACAATCTTCTATAAGGTTCTGGCATTGTGTGGACTCACTGTCCTCACACTAACAATTTCTATTTCACCAGTTTCCCCAGCACTTACCTGTATCCTGACCAGGACAGAGAGACAATTTGGATTCTCTAGCTGCTTTTCAAGAACTCTGGAGAGTCTGACTGTTTTCTCTTATCCAGCTGTCTAGATACTAATTTTGGCCATTTCTAATTTATGATCCAGAGAGGCACCATGTTACCCTGGTGTTAATGATGGACATGGGGACTCTTTAGGGAGTTGTTTTGTTTTGTTTTTTTAAAGATTTTACTTATTTATTTGTCAAAGAGAGAGAAAGAGAGCAAGCACCAGAAGGGGGAGCAGCAGGCAAAGGGAGAAGCAGGCTCCCTACTGAGCAAGGAGCCCAATGTGGTACTTGATCCCAGGACCCTGGGATCATGACCTGAGCTCAAGGCAGACACTTAACCAACTGAGGCACCCAGATGTCCCTCTTTACAGAGTTTTTAATAAACTGAGGAGCAGGAGCCAACCCTGTTATTCTAGGATTGCTCCTCATTTATCTGGATATTTCTATCATATACCCTTATTCTTGTGACCCATCTCCCCTCCCCCCAAACAGTGGGGTCAAGAAGAGCAAAGACACTTGAATCTGATTTCCTGCCATCCCAGCTCCTTTTTTCCCAGACTTCTCCTGGCACCAGAATGTCTCTTCCCTTCCTGTGCAACATTAAACATTATGTCATACCTTTATCTCTTCTACTCTAAAGTTTATTTATACTCCAGGACCGACTGAGTGGTTCAGTCAGTTAAGCGTCTGCCTTTGGCTTGGGTCATGATCTCCAGGTCCTGGAATCAAGTCCCAGATTGGGATCCCTGCTCAGCAGGGAGTCTGCTTCTCCCTCTCCCTTCATCCCTCCCCCACCACACTGGAGCTCCCTCTCTCTCAAATGAATAAATAAAATATTTTTAAATAAATAAATAAAATAAAAATTAAAAACCTTTATACTCCAGCCTTTTGGCTCTTTATAAATTCCATTCTATACTCCAATTTTCCATATAGATAGAAAGATAGATAGATACACAAGATTAGTAATTTGAATAAATCCTTTCCTGTATCAATCCAGCCTGGGTTTTGCAACCCAAGTACATACATTTTCAGACTATTGTCTTACTATTGACCTTAAAAATTACTTCTAAAACTAAAAGGAAAGCAGGAATGTTTTGTCCTAAATGAATCTTCTCTCTCTTTTCTCTGATGCAATAAGCTCCCAAATTTCTCAGTCTCAACAGAGAGGCTGTGAGTGAAAAGTTAGGGGAGAAATGGAGGGTGGAGATGAGTTACAAAGATCTGAATAGCTGTCTGGTTGATTCTTCTCTGTTATACTATTTTTCTACTTTATATTCTTCACTGAAGTTAGACAGAATCCTGATTTCTGCTATGTGACAGATGTGTGCATGAAACTTTGATGTCTTCCCTTTTCTGAGCTCCCCTGCAGGGGGGAAGACAAAACTGAGGCTAGTTCACTAGGTAGAACAACCCTTCCTCTGGAGCAAGAAATGCCTGGGAGATGAGGGATTTGTAGGTCTGATTAAATCCCTTCAGCATAAAGAACATGGGATAAACCATTAAAGTCACTTTGAACCTTCTTTTGTTGTACCTGCTTTGTATTTTAGAGAGACCCATATTCAGGAAATGCTTTTCTGCCTGGTGAGAGCTCCAGTGAAGATGAAGAGCCTTTAGCAGAACTGTCAAAGGAGGAATTGTGCATGAAAATAAAAAGTCTGAAACAAAAACTAACAAACACCCGGAAAGAAAACAGCCGACTTCGACAGTCTTTGGTCATGCTTCAAGGTAAACTTTGATAAAATTGATATTTTTAGATAAAAGGAAAAATATATGATGAATGAAAATTATTGCAAATCAGCTGTCAAGAGTGAAAAACCAAATCAGTGCCTTAGAGAAAAAAAATCAAAACTCACATTTTAAGAAAATCTATGATTATATAATTTAACACAGAAGCACTCATCTTTAAGCCCTTAGTTTATGGCTTAGGGAATTTTAGATTATTCCTACAAAATATCAAATGTTGTACTCATTTAATAACATTCAATGGCTATTTATTGAGCATTTAATAGCGGTTACTCACTGTGGTAGGCCCCAGAGAGAAAAGATTAGTAAGACAGAAAAAATAAGTTATCGTGTTCATAACGTGTTTATCTTATTCCCCTCTGCTAGGGAAGGTGCTAGAAAATGGGACCTATTATGATACATTATAGAACCACTGGAAATAAAGATCCTGTACATTGAAGTATAGTTTTGGAGTTGGGAAAAGTAGTCTGGGAAAATAGTCACATTCCACTGAAGACTAATAAAGGAGAAAGATCAATTTATGCAAATTAAAAACCACTTGGTATAATGTCTTTTTTAGGATCCTATATTGTATTTAAGTGTTTATTTTTCAAAAATTATGTTTTCCATTTGCAGTTAAGCAACATGCACTATTTTGTGCTGCTGAATATTTGGCAATCATGTCTTGTGTTGGGCAGCATTCTGTTGTAAAACAGTAAATACACAGACCATTTTGAAAATAAATCCCTCTGGCTGCTATGTACAAATGAGTACAAATAACACAAGAAAGAAATCAGGGAAAGGCCACTCTCCAACAGTATTGCAGTCATCCAGACTAACATGATGGCAGCCTAGCCCAGGGCAATGGTTATGGAAGTAAAGAGGACAGTTCTACATAATAATTATGGAGGCAGAACTGATAGGAGACAGATAGAACATGGTGATGAGCTAGATTTTCATTTTGTGGTAATGACTCATATGCTTTCCTAAAAATATTTATTACAGTGAAGACTTCATAGTTTTAAGTAGAAGCAGTTACAGCTAAAAATTATTTATTCCAACACCAAACCATTATGTCTTTATTTTTTTCTACTTTAAATATTGAATTTTTATAACCAATGTTTTGCTTTTTTTTTTCCTCTGGTGAGGTTTTTGTGATTTCAAACAACAGATCATTCTCATTTTCATATAATCTATTCCAGGACTTAGAGTAAGACGAAAAGCTAGTTTATAAAGTTAGTATAAATTGCTGGTTAAAAGTATTGATTTTTGAGTTACGGGCCTTGGTTTGAATCCCAGCTCTGCTTACTGGCTATATAGCTGGTGCCATGTCACTTTACTGGGCCCCCAGCTCCAACTTCAATCCTCTCATCTACAAAATGGTGGGGGGGGGGGGGGTGGCAGGGATAACCTATCATGTCCTTGCTGCTGTGATGATTAGAAGAGATCATTGGAAGAAATGCTTCACCCAAAGCATACGACAGGTGTTCAGTAATGGTATTTATTATTGTTACTGTCTCTGCTTTTATCAACACCAGAACCTGATACATAGAAGCCCCAAAAGAAAATTATTATACCAATTTTTGTTATACATTTAGATGAGAAAATTCTAAGTGTGAGTAGCAAATGAGTTTCAATAGTATGTGAAAAGAATCACTATGACAAGCTTCTTCTCCCTCCCACACTCTCAGTTGCCATTTCATTTTTTCTCTCTGCCAACTTCTCACACCTCCTCCCATATCCTCACTCTCAGTTGATGACTTTGCTTCTGACTTCATTGAGAAATTGAAGGATATGAAATAGACTGTCGTCTCCCTGCACCCATGCTTTATTTTTTTGTATTTTTGTTTTTTAAGTAAGTTCTATGCCAAACTTAGGACTTGAACTCACTACCTCAAGATGAAGAATTGCATGCTCTACCAACTGAACCAGCCAAGTGCCCTATCCCTGCACCTATGCCTTATGCTTCACTCTCTCCTGTCACTCATGATGACCTACTCTCTTGTCTAGCCAAAAACAGGTGGCATCCGATGCCACCTATGCATCGGATGCCATCCTCTTTCACCTAAGGACGTAGCTCCAGAGCTTCTCCTGGCTCTCCAACACAAGATAAAATTTTCCTTCTCTAATGAATCATTCCCCTTAGCACCAGACTTACCATTATTTTAAAAAACAAAACAAAACCCCTTCCAAGCTATTTGCTTCTCCATCTTCCACCCTATTTCTCTCCTCCCCTTTATAGAAAAAACTCCCTAAATGATCTGAAGTTTACTGGTAACAAAGTACCACAAATTGCATAATTTAAACAACAGAACTGTGCTGTCTCCCACTTCTGGAGGCTAGGATTCCAAAATTAAGGTGTCAGCAGGATCACACTCACGCTAAAGGCACCAGGGAAGCCTTCTCTCCCAGCTTCTGGTTGTTCCTTGACTTGAGGCCATGTAGTGCCAGTCTTCCTGTGGTGTTCTCCCCATATGCTTATCTCTCACCATGTCTAAACTTCCCCATTCTTATGAGGACACCAGTCATACTGGATCAGGGCCCACCTTAATGACCTCAGTTAAATTTGATTACATATATAAAGACTCTATTTCCAAATAAGTTTGCACTCTGAGGTACTAGGGGTTAGGACTCCAATTTATCTTTTTGAGGGGACAAATTTAACCCATAACATTCCATATTGCTAATCTCAAAAACCATTTTTTTTTTTTTTGAGAGAGAGAGAGAGAGAGAGAGAGAGAGACAGCACAGAGGGAGAGTAAGAGGGAGAAGCAGAGAGCTCAATGCGGGGCTCGATCCCAAGACCCTGAGATCATGACCTGAGCCCAAGGCAGATTCTTAGCCAAGTGAGCCCCCCAGGTGCTCCTCAAAAGCCATTTCTTAATGATCATCTAATTGCTCTGTGACCAGCATTTGAGACATTTGGCTATCTTTCCTTTTCTGGAAGTTTCCTCATTTAGCTTTTAGGACACCACATTTACCAGTTTTCCTCTTACACTGCTGATCTTTCTATCTAAGTCCATATGGCTGATTTATTTTATCATCTTACTCTCTAAGTATTTGATGATGCCCCAAGCTCAGACCTTGAACTTCTTTTCTTTCTATGTATACTCACTTCATAGGTGATCATATCTAATTACATGATGTTAAAATCCATCAATAAGCTACGATTCTCCAGCCTGGACTTCACCCTTTAACCCAAACTCATTGTCCAACTGTGTACATGACATAACTGACAGGTATCTCAGACTAACATGCGCAAACCACACTCCTGACCTGTTTTTGTCTTTCTTCCTCATCTTGGTTAATGCTAACTTCATTGTTCCAATTTCTCAAATTAAAAACCAATTTCTATATTTCTTTTATATCATACACTCAGTCCATTGACAAATCTTACAGACTTTACTTTCAAAACATTTTTGGGATACAATCCTTTTTACCACCCCTACTACTGTCACTCCAGTCCAAGCCACCATGATCTCACACATCGATTATTATGGTGGCTCCTAGCTGGTGTCACTATTTTTGATCTTGCTTTTCTCTAGTCTATTCTCAGCACAGTTGCAAGAATAATCCTGTTAAACAAATCAGTTCATGTCACTTCTCTCTTCAGAAACCTTAAGTATATTTCCTCCTCACTCAGGGGAAAACAGAAATCATTTTTATGATCTTTAGTCCTTATGCATTCTGGCTATTTCCCTTCTACTTACCCCTCTTGGTCTTATTTTCTACTACTTTCCCCTCCTTCTCTGTGATCCAGCCACACTGAACCACTTGTGTTTTCTTTGAAGACATCAGACATGTTCTTACTTTAGTGTCTTTGTACTGGTCATTTCCTCAAGCTGGAATGTTCTTCCCCCAGATATCCACTTACTCCCTTCAAGACCTTACTCTAAATTCATCTTTTCCCTAAACTCCTTCCTCAATGTAAAATTTCAGCCTCTCTCTCTGCAATGTTTTTTATCTTCTCCTGCTTCATTTCCTCTTTGGCACTTACAAATCTCTATATAATCTATTATATATTTAATATTGTCTACCCCCTTCATACACACACACACACACACACACACACACACACACACAAGTGTACCTCCAGAAACCAAGTTGTAGAGTTAGCTATTGGCTGGACTTCAGGCAACAGGAACTGCCCACTGCTGCTGTGGTACTCATCATGCATTTACTCATTCGGTAATATTTATAAAGTCCTCCTATATATTAGTCACTGTTCTAAGTACCTAGGAAAGTCCAGCAAATAAAACAAAGATCCTTGCTCTCATGGAACCTACATTCTAGTGGGGCAAAACAGTCAAAAGCCACAATAATTAATAATTGAATAAATTATATAAAATGTGAGCTGATAGTAGTATGTAAAAAATAAGGAAGGTAAAAGAAGATTGGGATTTGAGGGAGAGCATAAAAACACAATCTTAGGGGCACCTGGGTGGCTCAGTGGGTTAAAGCCTCTGCCTTCGGCTCAGGTAATGATCTCAGGGTCCTGGGATTGAGCCCTGCATTGGGCTCTCTGCTCAGCAGGAGTCTGATTCCCTTCCTCTCTCTTTGCCTGCCTCTCTGCGTACTTGTGATCTCTGTCTGTCAAATAAATAAATAAAATCTTTTAAAAAAAATACACAATCTTAAATACAGTCCTAAATAACAAGATCAGAGGAGGCCTCCTTGTGAAGCTACAGTTGGGAAGTAGGAAGATAACAGAGAGTTGAAATTTTATGTATAATCCAAATAAGAAAGGGTCTGAGAAAAGAATGCAGAAGGGTTATTTATCTTTTGCTCAGTAATGCTCTTAATAACATTTTGAACTAAGAATCAGGGCTCTTCTTCAGTTTATAAAACCTACTGAGGAAAAATGGTAGAATATATATGCCATTTTAGACATTCAGAATAGCAAATGTGTGTCTGCTATACATGTATGTTTTAAGCATTTGAAACATGTCTTGGGGACCACAACTGACCAACACCATAAGATATAAAAGGAAATAGGTGATATA